TTAGGACCGGTCACGGCCCGTGCTGGACCAAATAGGAATTGTGACTGGATTGAAGACTATCATAATCAGCAACAATATAATTAATCATATTATGAATAGTGCTGGAAATGATAGATCGTAATCATTCCACATATGGAGTTGTGAATCATTGGAATCTATTCGAATTGGTACATTGAAAGTGATTCATTCAATTGCTATTGTAGTTCATTTGCAATTCGAGGTATTGAACCAATATTACATATGGTATAATTAGATCCCTTATCTTCAATTCATTACATCTGTACTCATCATTTATATATAGGACACATGATTCGATAGAAGGTATATAGGTCCTATAGAAATGATTTAAAGGCACCAATACTTGGAGTGTTTTTCAAACTATTTGCCAACTTGTTTTGAGTTGTCATGTATAGATTCGTATTAAGTATAGTCCCCAGGTAATACAGAAAAATAGCATCCGATGTTGAATATACAAAATTGTTTTTTACCAACAATTGATATCATAATAACCCATTTTACTGTCGAAAATTGTTTTGCAATATATAATCTGGAATACCTTATTATTAATATAATCAAGCAGAAAATAGTTTTCCATTTATCAACTAATTGCTCTTATGATTCCATATTTGAGTATTATCATTGTTTCTATCAATGCAAATAGTGACTGGCTGTTGACTATTGATGTCATCAATTAATGACATCTGACAATTAAATACTATTGACTTTATTCCAGGAATGATTGATTCTTTCTCACGTTAGCACCCATTTGCCTCCTTTCTTTTACCTGGGAAATATTCAAAATCACTCTTCCTGTTGCTGCTAATGTACATTTTTCATTCTATTCTTTTCCCTGAGGTGTGTTTTTATATCAAAAATTCCATTTTTAAAATTCAATAACCGTTCATAAAACAAAGAGTGTATCATCATCCTAATAGTTCTATTTACCACTAGTTTGATACTGTTCTGTTTCGGTGCTTTCTTTTTGACTACTCAACTGGATATTTACAAAAACGTAATATAGTCTATCAACAACGTAATATTGATAGAATTGAGCTATCACGAGTGCAATGAAGGCCAGGCAAGATAACGTGACGTTATCAAATGATGGAATGAATATTAAGGAAAACAATGCAACATATAACCATAGACTTCTCCAATTACGATAGTACTGTTAAGATCACATAGACCACTTCGTTGGATATAATATCAAGCAGAGACAACTTCTCATAAATACTTGATAATATGCCTATTACTGGAAAAACAACGAGCGGTATAGTGAACAGTAGACCAATGCAAAGGATCTGATAATAATAATTCTATTAGTTCTGTAGTACTGCCTCCAATATACAAAAAACACGAAGTTGTATTGAATAGAACAATAAACCTTTTTTCACTCTATATATTTAGCGCAGTAAGAGAGTACTGTTGCGGGCGTTGAATCATCATCATTTGCCTCCAGATATTAGAACGCTCAATTCTCAAATCTATCAATCATTATTCATGACACCGCCTGTGAAGAAACAAACAAATGATAAGTTTCGTACGATTTCACACAAATCTTCAAAGCTGTCGACGACCATCATTGCTTCCTTAAGAGCTTTTTCCTTATGAGTCACTCCACAATATCCAATAAAGGCATCTGTTGCAGGATAAGCGTTTGCATCAACGAGACCATCCCCAATATTGACAATTGTCCCTTTCCCTTGTAAGTAGGTATTTCTCAGCCTTATTCATGAAAAAAAAGAAACAATATTACTTTGTGGCAACGACAGCTTTTCCTTTAATGTTAATCAAATCACTGCTTTTATCATAGCCAATGAATTCACCAGCATCATCAAAGAGTAGTGGAATAGCAATTAGATTGGACATGTCCAAATCGAGCTTAGGTAACAGAGGGACAACCATCTATTTTTCACATAATACAATAGAAAATACAGGAACATATCCAGAAGAAACCAAAAACACCTTCTTCCCTTTTTCCTTACAGAGTGCGATAAACTCCTTGACATATGGAACAATCTCATGCGGGCACTCCTTAATACTCGATTCAATCACCGCTTTCGAAGGTTTTATAGCTTCCAAACAGCGCACGACAAATTCCTCAAAACTTATTTCTCCGTTTAATATTCTATCATAACAACAACAAATGTGCATTCTTACGCTAACTTTAGTTGACTGATTTCTTTTTCTTTCTTTCCGTAACGAGCCAAAATATCAATTCCTTCACTCCGAATGATAGTTCCATCTACATCGATTATTACTATGTCGGCTTGCTTAAGAAGGGAAATTGCTTTAGGAACGTCATTTCCTCGCGTTATCGTCATATTATTACGTTAATATTGCCTAGTCAATCAATCTTCACGACAATCATAAAACCAGCTATATAGAAAACAAGATTTAAGAAGATTAAGTCATTGCAACCCCATTTTCTAAATCAAATGATTTGTGACCGCGGTTATTATGTAATGATCCTCTGTTTTTGTAACTGCTCCGTAATTGCCTTTATTTGTATATTCGCATTTTGTATATTATTTTAAATCACATATTACAAAATCTATACTGATCAAGCATTAATTATTATTTTCTATGTGTGGTAAGTGCGATACATCGATATTCTTATTTAGATCTCTTTCTTGGAATCGATTTGAGTACTCAAAGTTGCAAAGCAACACTCCTTGATTCAACTCTTGCTGTGACGCATTCTGCTACAGTAATCTTTGAAGAAGACCTTCCACAATACAATGCGAAGGGAGGAATCTTGATACGCGAAGGTGGAGTTGTCGTTTCTCCAACTTTGATGGTATTTACGACTTGAGTCTATATTATCACTAGTGGGTAGAAGCTCTAGATCTTTTGTTTAGCAGATTGAAGGAATCTGGAGTTTCTATGAATTTGGTGACCTAATTTACATATGATTATATATAGATTAAATCAATTGGTGTGAGCGGTCAGCAACATGGTAGTGTGTACTGGAAAAAGGGTTCTCGCTCACTTTTGACAAACTTGTGTTCGAACGATTCACTTGTTAACCAATTGAAAGATGCATTTTCTATTAATGGTATATTAAATATATATGTGTATAGTTCTAAATATAGAATCTCCGATTTGGATGGATAGTAGTACTGTATCAGAATGTGCTGCCTTGGAAGAATCGATGGGAGGAAGTATGAAACTGGCTGAGATTACTGGTTCAAAGTTGATATCATCACGACTATTCCGTTACTATATAGAGCATATACACGTTTTACCGGAAATCAGATTGCTCGAATCGCGAAACTTTATCCTGAAGCGTATGAGAATACTGAACGAATTTCTTTGGTGAGTTCATTTGCCACTTCTATTTTATGTGGTGATTATGTTAATATCGATCTGAGTGATGGAAGTGGTATGAATCTATTGGATATTCGTACTCACAAATGGCATATTCCATGTCTGAATGCTTGTGCACCGAATTTATACGAACGTTTAGGAGATCCTGTTCCAACAACAACACTCGTTGGAAAAATCCATTCGTATTTTGTCGAGTATATTCTAATCATATATATATGATCTAATAATATAGAAAATATGGTTTATCTCCTTCATGTGACATTGTTTGTGGAAGCGGAGACAATCCTTGTTCGTTGGTAGGTTTGCGAATGAATCGTCCTGGTGATATTGCGATAAGTTTGGGAACAAGTAACACAGTATTTGCCCTAATGAATGAATGTAAAACTGATATCGAAGGTCATGTATTTGTAAGTCCTCTAGACGAAAGTACAATTGTATACTGTGTTCCATATAGATATGTACATGAAAATGCTGTGCTACTCGAACGGTGATTTTGTGCGGACGCGTGTATCCTATTGTATAAAATTGTGACATATAGACCTGCCAGCGCTATGCCAACAACGATTGGAATGTGTTTTCTCAACTTGTCGAACAATCGCCTCCTGGAAACAATGGTTTCATCTATATTGATCGTTATGTTCCTGAAATCACACCGGATAGTCGAGTTTGCGGAATATTTATGTTCAATGGAGATGGTGAAAAAGTCGACAATCTATCTCCTTGTGAATGTTGTCGTGGTATAATTGAATCTCAAGTACTATCGATGCGTCTTCATTTGGAAAAGTAGTAATTTTGACACAATGAATATGTAATAGAACGGGATTCAATCAATTTGAGCGACTGATAGTAACTGGTGGAGCATCTGTAAATCATTCTATATTACAGATAATAGCGGATGTTTTCCAGGCTGATGTATTCACAATCAATGTGAAAGATAGTGCAAGTGTTGGAGCTGGTATTCGTGGTTACATAGGATGGTTGAAAGAAACAAATCCTGCTATGTCGAATGAAACATTCTTTGATGAAAGAACGAATGATGAGAGTTTGAGAAAAGTTGCGAGTCCAAATCATGAAGTGAAGCATATATATGATGAAATGCTATTGAAATATTCAAAACTTGAGTCAAGTCTTTCCATTGTTTGAGATTAAATCCTATCAATATCACCACGATCATGAACAGTGTTCGAATAATGGTTTGTCGGTTTGCTAACAATAAAATGGTTATTCATATGAGATATAGATGTTTTTACCCCGTATTTTCGCAATTCCTATAAAAGCCTGTATTAGTATTTGGCCAACCTTTTCTTTTGCAAATAGAGTACAATGAAGGAGCTATCTCCACTTGCAAAAAAGTACAAAGATGCCTTTGAAGGAAAGATGATTGTGTTTGATATGGATGGTTAGCATAGTCGTCTCTTTTTCATTAGGTACATTGTGGTGGTTTTGGCAAGACACACATCCCGACCCTCCAATTCATGCCAAGGGTATGGGTTTTGCCGATAGGTATTCATTTTGTATTATAATCATAATAATATAAAGAAATGGAGAACTGTTTGATTTTTATCCCGAAACTCGGGAGATTCTTCTTGCTCTGTATGATGCTGACATTCCTATTGCACTCGCGAGTAGTACATGGGCCCCTCGTTTGTTAGATGTGGTGAATCATTTTAATGAAATAGAGGACGTCAGATTATTAGAACCATCAAAGTGGACTCAAACAGAACATTGGGAGATATTGTGTCCTATCAACAGCTCATTACCTGCCAAAAGTTCACCCATTTTGCCAATATTAAGAGAGACTCAGGATATGAGTATGACCAAATGATTTTTATCGATGACGAATATCACAATATAGAAGACGTATATTTTATTCTATTTTCGCTACTTTTAGATTAGTACTCTCGGTGTTTTGTGCTTTTATGAACCTAAGGGAATCTCGAAGAAGGTGTTTGAAAAAAACATTTCTCGTGTTAAAGAGTCCCAAAATTAATTGTTTCGTGTGCTTTGTATAAACACGCAAATCTAATTCTTCGTTTTTGCATATTTCTTTAAAGATGTTTTACTTATTAGTACTCTGTTTGATTGTAATCGATTCTGTACGAGCGATTACCCTAGAATCGATTCCCTCTTCTGACGATATTTCTGTGATTTGCTTGGAATCTAGAGGGGATTCCTATTATATTACTATTCCTTATTATCTTCTCTCTTGTAGAGATTTCACTTATCCCGAGTCGCCTTATGACTTCTTAGACGATTTAGTTGTTCAATCTCCGCTCTCCATTGAATGGATCCAGCACACGGCATGTCCAGCAGCTCCCAAAAGCCCTTCGGTGAGTCTGCTTTGCTGCCAACCTCCATCGTCTCCCTTTTTTCTACCCTTATCCTCTCCACAGGTTTCTAAAGAAATCCACGTTTTTTAATTTTATTTTCATTTGAGCGCAGATCCGGGGGTGTCAACCCGTTCTACTCTCTTTACCTTCTGAAGGTACGAGAAGTCTGAATGATACAAGGGATGCCTATTTTGTTTTTGAAAATCCGCCACAAACACGCGACTTTTCTCTTATTCTTGTCGTTGTTTTGGGAGGAATCTTTCTTTCCTTAGTCGTTGTATACCTTCTCTAGTTGCTTCTATTCTGTTTCTTCTTATTTTCTTAGTCATTTTCTCAACTATGTGTGCGTTCGGAACAAGATTGTGGGAGCCGCGAAACTGTGGTCTTATGCACGAGCCCCAATCTCTTCACACTGGAAGTTGAAGGGAGGAATCAATGGGACCTGGATCCGCAAAAAAGAACACTCTGGTGATGGGCATGTAATTTATTATTCTGCCCCTTCAAATCAACTTCAATGGCTGCCAGAAGAATGCTATCCTGGCATTCCAGCCAAATGTCTCAATGTTGCAGCTCTGTATGAGGACACTCTGAAACATAAACTGACCTGGTTTTATTCTCAAGTGCAGTTGTTTTGGATTGATGATCGTAGATTGCGCAGCTATGCACAGAGAAACGAATTCGGATTATTTTGAATCGCAAGACTGTGCTGCATGACACGCTGCTGGCGTTTGCTACGCTGACTCCTGAAGATATGGTGAAGCAGATTCGTCTTCAATTTAATGGAGAGGTAAATTGCTGGGATAGAGATCGATTATAGCCAGGTGTGGATGCAGGCGGCTTGTCGAGAGAGTGGATGGCTTTGCTCATGAAGAACGTTTTCTCAAACGATGAAATCCCGAAGGTGAAAATTACGGAAGAAAGATTTGTAATGCGAATCGATCATGTGTCTCCCAAGGATGACGATCAAGAAACAATCAAATACTTTCGAGACACTTCAATGAACACTCGATCCTTTGTGAATATGTTTATGTTCTTACGATCACGTTTTCTCATTTCTAGTCTCACTCCGAATGGCTATCTTCCCAACCCTGCTTTGAATTATCACCAAAACTACATCGATGATCTCGAGCTTCCAAAATGTGCTTCTGACGCCATTTCCCAAAATTATCAGTTTGTTGGAAGGCTTATCGGGCGAGCCATTTTTGATGGAATTCCTCTGGGTGTTCATTTCAATCCTCTTTTGTAAGAGTTGATATCTGATAAGTAAATCTAGAATCAAAGCGATTTTATCGGTCCCAATTGTTCGATCGGATATTCAGTTAATCGATCCTACTCTTTATCATGGAATGAAGCGATTAGAAGACTCACTGGCTCAAGATCCTTCTCTGGAGCAATCTCTCGAGTTAACCTTTAGTGTTGATATTACGAATTCTGTGGATATTGACAATCCTTGCATTGAAGAGATGGATCTGTGCAAAGGAGGGAGGAATCGATTTGTTTCATCCGAGAATATTGATGAATACAACGAGCTCATGTTGAAACACGCTGTTTATGATAATTATCGGAACAGTTTCTATTTCATTTTGAAGGGGATTTTCGAAGTCATTCCTCAGTTTTTCTTCTCTGTTTTTACGGAGTCTGAGCTGAGAACGGTCTTAGAGGGAGAAACCGGTAAAAGAAAACCTATCCATCGATTGTAGTGATTGATGTGGAGGACTGGAAGCAAAACACTGTTTATACAAACGAATTCTGTGCCAATCACCCCGTCGTTCGGAGCTTCTGGGAGATTGTTGAAAGCTTCTCGAACGAGCAGCGATCGTTACTTCTGTTATTTGCTACAGGCTATTCGTACCCTCCAGTAGATTTGTTTTTTTCTTGTTTTCCTTTAGATTTTGGGGTTTTCGCACTTGAAGGGTCCGGATGGGAGAACGATGCCTTTCTGTCTCTCTCCTCTGCCTTTTGTTGTTCGATCTGTTGACCCAGAGGCAGTTGTGGGCTACCAAATTCGCTCGCACACCTGTTTTCATAAATTGGAAATACCATTATTGGATAAGAAGCAGTTGGAGCGTGTCATTCTGGCCACAATCCAATCGGACAACGGATGTTATGGATTTAATGAAGAGTAAATATCGAGTGTTTGTTGAAAACAGTTGAGGGGTGTTGAAAGAGTGATCGGATGGAACAAAAGAATGAGGAGAATATATTGCTGAATGAGGGTTTCTGACTTGGGGTTTGAGAAATGACTGGCTTTTCAACCTCAGGAGATTGCGAAGGAAGGCTTGCGTGAAGAGGAGACAACTCAGGGGATTCTGCTGAGTTGGCAGATAAAAATGATTCCACTGATTCATCTGATTGCACTGATGCGAAGGGTTCATCATATGCATCTGGCTGAAATGACTGTAATGATTTGCGTAAGTCAGCGAATTCATTTGATTGATCTGATTCATTCAATTCATTGGATCTATTCGACTCATTCAATTCATTGGATCTATTCGACTCATTCAATTCATTGGATCTATTCGACTCATTCAATTCATTGGATCTATTCGACTCATTCAATTCATTGGATCTATTCGACTCATTCAATTCATTGGATCTATTCGACTCATTCAATTCATTGGATCTATTCGACTCATTCAATTCATTGGATCTATTCGACTCATTCAATTCATTGGATTCACTCAATTTATTTGATTCTTTTGATAAATTCATATCATTCACCACTTTTGAATTCCCAACTACATTACTATTCAAGATCGATTTTGGGCCTTTTTTTTCTTTTCCTTTTCCTTTTCCTTTGACTGAATCGATTGACATTTCCCACTCTGCTGTACCTTGGTTTTCGATACATCAACAGACTTCACCGCATTCTCCGCCTTTTTTCTGGGTTGCGGCTTGACACAAATCTCTTCATCAGGAGGAATGGGCAAACTGGGCAACGAAGGCATGCCGATCCTATCCCACTCCTCGTTTCTTTGCAATACCTCTTTTATGTAGACATATCGACGAAGAGTGCTTCTCTTTTTGGGAGAATGGTAATCAGCATCCAAGGTAACACTTACAGAATCGGACTCATTTATTGGCTTCTTGATAGGCGATACAGGAAGTGACTCTCCTGGTAGCTAAATATCAAAAGATAAAACAACCATTACTGAAAAACGAACTCGTTTGGGTGAAGTTGTTTGGACGGGGTTACTACGTTTTGGCCGTGGAGGAGTTGGTATCTCAATCGTAATCTTTTGTGATTTTGGCTTTTTGGTCTTCTCTTTGCCATTTGGGTCACAATTTTGATCTTTAGGGATTGAAGCAGCAGAGCATCCACAGATACATCCATTTTGCGTGCAACTTGCTTGTTTATCTACAATTTGCTACACATCGTTATTATCTTACTACTATTATCACCAACCAAACTACTATTGCTATTGCAAAGCGTGCTGCTTTTATTTTGATCCATTCTCATTCAACGAAAGGAATGAATGCTGATTAGTTCAAACAAACACTTCAATATGAACTATATTCCCAATATTGAATATCCTCCATCCACTAACAATCACTCTCCATTCTATTCACTACCGTTTATGACTTGTCCTGTAATGCCTTTCGAATAATCGCTGCATAACCATGCTGCTGTCCCGCAAACGTCCTCGACTACACTTTTCTGCTTCAACGGCTGCTTTTCCAAGAACTGGTTCTTCATTTCCTACATTCGCAACTTCGATCGAATTCTACGAGAAAGCGAGGAATTCCGCGAGCTGCCAGCGTATTCACCGGAGCCGCACGAATCACATTCACTCGAATTCCAGAGCTCCCAAGGTCGCCTGCGAGCTGGAGCGCCGTGGATTCCAATGCTGCCTTCGCGATGGACATAATGCCGTAGTTTTGGAAATAGCGCGTACTACCAAGGAAGGAAAGAGCGGTGATCGATGAAGATGGTGACAGCAAGGGCTGCATGGCTTTGGTAAGAGAGAGTAAAGAGTAAGTGGAGATCGACAAGGTTGTGTTGAAGTCTTCTTTTGAAATGTCAAGAAGTGGGTTCTGTAAATCGATGGAGAAAGAGAATCGAGTACATGTAAGGCGCTTGACGGGGAATAAGCAATCGAATGAAATAAAGAATCCAAATGACCATAGGTTGACGCTATGAAATAAAGTCATCGTAGACAGGAAATACAGATGAAGGTTTGCAGTTCTTTTAGATCGTTCTCTTCGATTGCATTACAGCAAAAAGTGGATACCAACTGTTTACTCTTAAGATAATAAGGAATGCTGTGAAATACGTCCTGTGATGTCAATTCGTCCTTTATTAGAGCATCTATTTTATTCTTAAACTCGGGACGTTGATATGTAATTATAATTGAGGCTTTCTCTTGATACAATTTCTTTCTCACTATTTAGTAGAAAATATCTACCTTCGCTATGTTCCATGCAATCGAACGGCCATTAGCTATTCCTGTTACAAGAACCACCTTATTGGCCAACATGCTTACAAAAACAAATGAAAATCCTACGGTTGTGTCTCAAACAAAGAAAGCGTTTCATGACCAACTTCTGATTACATAAATGTCGAACTTATTGCTTGCGAGTCAAGATGTAGTGACCACGCTTAGAGATCTCGACGATCTTTCCCTGCTTGACCAACTCACGGATTCCAGCACGAGCACAAGATCCGTTGATCTTCAGACGATCGACAATGGTGTAGACGGTGATCAGCTTCATCTGAATCATAAAATAAACCATTCTGCACAATACCTTAGGCACTTCGCTGAGAAGCTTCTCATAATCAGCCTGCTCAAAGTACACCTTGTTATCAATAGTTTCTCTCACCTTTCCCTTGCTCCACTTCTAAAACTATAAAAATGATGAACCAACGCGTTACCTTCTTTCCGTTAGCCGACTATTTCATGGTTAGTTACCCAGTTCATACCCAATTGTCAACAACACCAAGCAAAACACAACCACACCTACCATTCTATAATCAATGTGCTATTTGAAACAATCTAAGTGAAAGGTAAAAACAATCGGATTGGAGCATCGTTAATTATCAAGTACGATTTTGACTTCTGAATTCTGCCGTGACCTTCTCTTTCCTGCATTTCTAACAAACAATTCATTTGCTATTTTCCTTCATCATAAGCAGAAAATCATCTTCGGTCTGAATTCTCAACAACTCCTCCATCTGCTCCGTTGTTACGTGGTGCCTACAAATAAACCCTCTTTTCGACCCCCACTGTTCGCAGAACTCCGAGAAGATTTGCTGAGGAGACTTTCCTTCATCCACCATCGTCTTGAACTGCGATACCCATTGCCTTACCTGCGTCGGAAACCACTTTTTCAGGCCATAACGACAGCGCAATTTCGCCAGACTCATCGACATGATCCCATGTCCATCGTTCTCCACTCGCGCATTCTTCCGATTCTCCACAATCTCCTCCGCCATTCTCTTCTTCGGCGCGATCTCTCCCTCCTCCCTCCTCCCCGTCTTCTCCGCCTCCTCCACACCGCCGCTCTCCGCCTCCGACGCTCCCGCTCCTTCCATTTCCAGCGGCGTCGCCACCGTCATCGGCGTCTCCACGCACGCCTCCTCCGTCGACGCCTCCTCCATCGGATGCTCCGCCACCGCCATCGGCAGCACCGACGGCTCCAGCTGCGGCCGCAACGGCCGATTCGCTCGCAGCAGCTCCTGCCGCAGCTCCGCGTTCTGCGACTGCGCCGCCCACCGCTCCACCTGCAGCCAGCGAATCGCTTCCTCCGCCCTCTCCACCGAGCGACGAAGCACTTCCGCGGTTTTCTCGAATCGACTCTCCGCGAGTTCCCGCGACTCCGTCGACTCGGGCGATTGGGTCGATTTGGCTTCGATTTGGGGTTTCTCGGTTTCCCCGGTTTCTCCTTTTTGGTTCTCCAACTACATCGAAGGGCGCCTGCATTGGGTACCGCGCGAATTCGATCGAACAGCTGCTCTGTTTGCAGGATGGTGAGCGTTAACCGCGGGAAAAGCGTCGGTTCGTCGGTCGGCCACTTCGCTTGCATCCGCTCAATGCTCGCTAAGCTGCTCTTCCAGCGCTCGTTCTCCCGCTCCATCCGCGCATTCGCCTATTTTTGAACCTTCCCCGCGGTTCTACTTCTTTCAATTCGGTTACCTGACGCAGATAATCGCGGTTTTTCGCCTTTTCCTGCTCCAACGCTTCCTTCAGTTTTTCCATCTCCAGTTTCTCCAGTTTCTCCGATTTCTCCGATGTGGATGACTCGGCGGGTTTCTCCGTTTCCACGGTTCGACCAAGGTCCACCGATTCCGTCTCCATCGTCTCTATCGTTTCCATCGTTTCCACAGTTTCCACAGTTTCCACGGTTTCCACACTATCGGATTTCGCGGAGTCCGCCATCTTTCCCTCGATTTCTGCGAAGATCCGATTCCCGCGGAGATCGATGCCTTCTCGCAGCGCCTTTTCGAGCCTCAAAACCTGGGAGGCGAGCGACAGCGTCTGGGTCTGGAGCTGGTCGTGCTCTCGCTGCATTCGGTCCATGGCGGTGCTCATGTCCTCGGCTTCCTCCTCCATTTCCTGCATCGTTTCTTCCAGCTCCTTCTTCTGGACGCGCAGAGCGGAGAGTTCCGCGGGGATGTCGAGCGGAGCGAGCGGCGCGGCGTCGGAGAGCGCGGGGAGGGAGGGCGCGGGCGGGAAGGAGCATTGCTGGAGCGACTGGGAAAGCTCCACGGTGGCGTGCTGGAGCGAAAGGAGGAGATTCGTGATGCCGGAATTGGAGAGAAGAACGGACTGCAAGAGCTGCTCGGCGGATTCCTCGTGGATGAACTGCGTTATCTAGAGCGATTACAGCGCAGAGAAGCAGAGTACATGGGAGAGAAGCGAAATCTGGTCGAATTTTGCCATTCCGTTTTTCAGCTCGATTTCGGAAAGGCGCGTTGTGAGCTGCGAAATTCGCTTTTGATAGGCTTCGCAGCTCGTTTTGAATCGATCTCGCTCTTCCTGCAACAATCCATGTTCTCTCTCCCTGGTTTCCACGATTCCACGTTTCGAGTCCATTTCCCATCGCAGTTGTTTCTCGCGTTCTCTCATTTCTTCCATTTCCTTCTCCAGTTTCTCCTTTTCGACTCGCTTTGTTTCTTCTTCCTTCTCCAACAATCGTTTCATCGCGTCGTCGCAGCGTCGATCCACCAAAAGACGCCGATAGAAATCGCGCTGCTGCTCCGTGATCGCAACCCTCTCTTGAGCACGCTGGCTTTCGCGGCTCAATCTCCGCATCTCCGCGTACAACGCATTCAGCAGCTCGTCCGACGCTGCATCCTCACCAGAGGGTTGGACAGACGCCACGTGGCCGTTCCATCGCTGCAGCAGCGCGTGATAATCTTCCTGCAGAGCCTCAAACGCCTTCTGTCGAGCCTCCAAGATGGGGGTTTTGTCTTCTAATTCGCGGAGAATGTGCTCTAAATAAATGCTCAATTCTTCCTTTTCGCGCGTCACCTGCAGCAGTTTGCTCTGCGTTGCATCCGCGCTGCTGGGAATCTCCACACACCGCACGGTTCCCATCTCGCCGAGCAGGCGGAGCTTCTCGTCTTGCAGAGTGGAGATTTTGGCCTGCTGCGTTTGGAGCTGGAGAGAAAGCTCCCGGTTCTGCGACGACAGCGACTCGATTCTGCGAGTTTGTCTAGAATCGACCGCGATAAAAATGAAAACTCTCCGAGCAGACAATCCATCTGCTTTTCTAGCAGAACGCACTTTTCACTCGCTTCGGCGGAGACCTGCTGCGCGGTTTGGAGGTTCGATCGCGCGACTTCCAGCTCGTTTTGCAGCGAATCGACCTGCGTTCAACACTGTGCTTCCGAAGACGTACTTCTGTTTGCAACTGCAGTCGCGTGGCTTCGAATGATTCGGTCTGCGCGTGCAGCGATCGGCATTCCTCGCATTTCTGCTGATAGCTCCGCGCGATCGAAGCGTTTGTGAATCGGCACTGCGCGAAGAGCGACTGCAAGCGATTCTGCAGCACGTGATGGTTCGAAATCTGCTGCTGATTCATCCATGGGACACGAACGATCGTTTCGAACTGACGGCTGCGCTCTTCGACGAGCTGCGAGAGCTCGGTGATCGAGTTGAACGTCGCTTGGAACTCGTCGAGTCGGGAGCATTGCTGTCGGCTCTGAGTGTTAGAAGTTATGACAAGCGCGGTACGGTGGAATAAAGCTGTCGGACACGCTCCAGTTCATTTAGCAGGATTTGGTTCTCGTAGTTTTTCACGTGCACCAGGCGAGTCAAGTCTTCGAGGGAGAGAAGCGAAGCAGGGTCAGGGTCAGGGTCAGGGTCAGGGGCGGAGGCTGCGGCTGCGGCTACAGAGTTTTCTTCAGAGGATTGTGCAGGCTGAGGAGTTTCGGTGGCTTCAGATTTCGCAACCACTTCCATTGCTTCAGGGGATTGCGCAGGCTGAGGGGTTTCGGGGTTTGCAGGCATTTCTTTATTCTCTACAGTTTCTTTATTCTCTGCAGCCTTCGAATTCTCCACATTCTCTTCCACCTCCAGAGTTCCTGCATTCCCACTACTTTCACCCATTTCAGCACCAATCATCTCCTTATCTCCCATTCCATGCTCCACATTCCGAATTTCAGTCGAATCTACCACATCTTCTCTGGTTAGTGCCTTTTCAGGCTCATCATTTTGTCGTTGCACTATTTGAACATCGTTATTATTTCTACCCTTTCAAAATCACCCAACATCCTACATTGACTCGATTTCTCCTTCCACAACCATATCCATATTTTGATCATCTAGAAAATCAAAAACATTCAAGTTTATCTTACCAAACTGACCGTCTAATACTTCTTTGCCAGAAGTGTCTGGTACACTGCTATTCTCTACAGGTTGTGCAGCTATCCCTATTTCCTAAACGATGGTAAGTGTATGTTGCAAAAATACGAAAACGAGCTTCTTACATCAGGATTTGCTTCAAAATCAGACATAATTCTTCCCGCAAATCAACAATATCAACAATGAAGTTTTGTGAGATTGGGGAAGAAATGACTACGCATTTCATTATATCCATTGCGTTGCTTAAAGAGCGTTGCTATATATCAAATTGGGAGTAAGGAACGAGCGATCACTCAGATTTCTCTTTAGACGATGGACAGCAAACTACGCGAGATCATCCAAAGAAGTCAGCTCCTGTCGATGCAAACGTCAGGCCAAGGAACCACTCCAATTCAGGTAGATGAAGGAAGTTTGTTAAAACAAAGCGAACTCCGGCGTTCATTCAATCCGTTGAACAGAATGCGAAGTTTGGAGAAGAGCGACCTTCGACCCATACTCGAGACAATGCGTAAGTGTGTTTTCGTGATTGGTGAGGATAAGTCATTTGTTTTGGATGGAAAAGGGAGTTGACACTTCAAAACTCGGCAAATTGTTGGAGGAAGGACGTTCCAAGTTGTCTCTCGCACATACATCGAGTGTGAATGAATATGACGTTGAAGGGTGCTTCCTTATGTGTTTTTGTGATGTGCAGTCATATTAACGAATACCACGAGAATGCCATCCTGTCGACTCTGGACGAGTCCCAGGCAATGTTTGAGAGCAGCGCCTCTCAGCGAATTTGGGACATGATGGACAAAGAATTCGAAGCAGCAAAAACGAGCATTCTCGAAAATGAGCGAACCAAAACATCGATTCACTTATCACCTCCTTTATCCAGTAGATTCATTCATTCATTCATTCACTCATTTCCCAGACAATCTTCCTCTCAACACACGCAAACTCGTTACTCCTCCCATTCTCTCTAGTACGTATCAGCAGTTTCATCAACCACAGGTCAAAACCCGAACGATGACATCTCGAAAGCCGTTCTCTTCGAGAACGCCATGTCCACCATTTTCGAGGCCATTTGCGCCCACGAAACGCCCAATGTGGCGGGAATTCTCCTCAACGCCCTCCGCGAATCCAAACAAGACGTTCTCTTTTTAATATATTTTCTCTCATTTCTAGCTGAGCGGCGAAATCTTCACATGGAACTTGCTGATTCGACAGCTCGAGCTGGACGACTCCGACCCCTACGTTCTCGAACAACAGTTTTTCCCCCGATTTTTGTCAACCGCAGCGCGCCCTTCCCGCAGAAATCGCTCGCTCGCAACGCGCTGCTCTTCCTCTGCGAGCAATTCGAGGACTACATGCGTCGCGTCGTCATCCGCGCTCGTTCCATCGCAGGTTTCCACGTTTCCACTTTTTGAGGTGTTCAGCACTGCCGTCATCAAATCTGGTGGCGCTGTGCGAAACGTACTGCTCGGTTCTCTCGCAGGGCGACGCGTCGTCGATGCTGGAGCGCGACAGTCGCTCGGGGCAGCCGCTGTGGATGCTTCTCTTCGCGCTGCTGCGCTCTGGCTGCACGCGGGACGTCATCGAGGGCTTCCAAGACGACATTCTGCGCCATGGCGGCGCGGTGGGCCACGACATTTACCGCCTTCTCATCGCCTTCGTCGAGTAGTTGATTTGTGTTCCTTGTGTTCCAGTGAGCTGCATCGCGAGCCGCGGAAATCCGAGATTTCCGATCTGTCTGCGATGATTTCCCGTGTGCGTGGGACGTACCATCGCCTTATCGGTTCTGGGTGTGACGACATGCACAAGTAGGCAATGCTTTTTTTATTTTTTAATCTTTTTAAATCTTTTTTTAATCCTTCTTTTTTTTCTTATCTTTTTAATTGGTTTTTAAATCTTTTTTTCTTATCTCTTTAAATTCTTTTTTCTTTTTTAATCTTTTTTATTCCCATAATTTTCTAACCAACTCCCTCAGACTTCTCCTTCTCTCGCTGCTGAGCCACGAAAACCCCTTCGCTTCCAGCCCCGTCATTTCCCAGAGCACCGGGGAAACCCGGATCCCCCAGAGCGAAACGCTCGTCACCATCCAGGACTGGCTCTGGCACAAGCTCCTCTCCATCTTCGGTTTCCACGTTTCCACGATTTGAGGAATAGCGAACGAGACGGTGTTCTACGCGGTGCGTGAGCGCGGCGAAGCGTTCCAGCTGGACGGGCTGCGTCGGCGGATCCTGGACTGCGGCGCGGAGCACTTCGACCCGCGCGGAACCACGCCGTTCTCCTTCGTGGAGAACCTGGTGATCGTGGGCTGCTGGCGCGAGGCCGTGGAGTACCTGCTGCGTCAGCACCACCTGCTCTCCGCCACGCACCTCAGCCTGGTGCTCTACTGGTACAACGTCCAGCCCTCGCTGACGCGCGAGCTTTTCATCACCTGCGTGCTCCGCGCTCTGCCTCTTCTCTGGACCCACCTCGCTCTCTGCGTCGCCTACTGCGCCGTTCTGCGCGAGCCCGCCTTCCGCGACGACCTCCTCGTCGTAGACATCCCCGCGGTTCTTCACTCTAGATGGTCATCGTGGGGTCCGGTCAGACCGCCGCGCTGGTCGGAGAGAAACTCCCGCAGGGCGATCGCCGCCGCGGCCTGCTCCGGAAACTCTTGTCGCGGGAGGAGCTCGCGCTCGTGGCGCGCGCAGCCGCGGCGCAGCTGGCGGTAGGACCGCGGAGAAGGGCCGATGGGTAGACGAACAATGAGTGGAGACGTGCGCTGGAACTGTTCGTGCTGTGCGACAACTTCGACAGCGCCGCCGCGCTGCTCATCTCTCACACTGCGGGCACTCTAGCCGGACGACGCGGAGCTAGCGAAGCTGGTAGTGCGAGCAATGCAAGCAATGCAAGCAATGCGAGCAATGCTGGCGAGCTGAGTGAGCTGGGAAAGCAGATTGATGCATTTGTGGAGAAGGCGGAGCGGAGCGCGAAGAATGATCTGTCGCAGCAGAATCGCTTCGTGCTGTCGATTTTGAAGGACGTGATCACGCTGTTTATGTCGATTGATGCGAACCGGATGGAGGAGGCGCTGGAGGTGCTGCAGCACATCCCGCTGCTTCCGAACAGCTGCGAAATGCTGGAAATCCGCAAGAGCGTGGCCAATCTGTCGGGTGTGCCTAATTGCGTGCTTTCGCTGATCCCTGAAGTGCTTTTGAGCGCATGCACCTGCATCTGCTATTACTACAACCAGTTTAAGGCTCAATATGTATCTCTATTGTGGAAATGGTGAACTGTAGTATGTGGCTGTGGACGACGAGGAGAAGCGGGGAATTCAGGAGCGGATGAATTACTACAGGCAAATCATCCAGAGCTACGAGCAGTTTGTGGGTAGTTTAGGCATCCGCGTGCCACCGGGCATAAATGATAAGTTGTCCCAAATAGTTATTAATATGTCCTAATTATTTTCTCTGTTTGAGGCTACATATATTAATTTATTCTTTCAATGCAGTACCTTTCTGACTCTTTTGACCGCCTCAGTTTTTTTTGTTCTGTACCTCCTTGTGCGCCAACTCAACAGATGAAGGGCCCAAATAACCACAGTACTACCATCGCCTTCGTTGAAGAGGGTAGTGTTTTGGCCCTTGCTAGCCAGGAGCCAAGCTCTCTTGAAAGCAGTAATGATGAATTTAGCAGCAATATTGCAAATTCATCATTTACTGGTGAGGAGAGTGCTCATGGTTTTTGTAATACTGGAAGCTTGGACCTAAAGCAGGGAAGCAGAATTGTTTTCCCAACATATCCGTTTGATATGAACTGCTCTTTCCCTGATGATTTTACTAGTGGTTTGGGGAGTGTGGATGAGTTTTCTGACCATTGTATCAATGACACACTGAGTGATCTAACCACTTCGTCGGACCTGGTAGATTATTCAAGTGATTTCAGTCTCCCATTGGAATTCGGTACGGAATTCAGTGGGGTGGTCAGCCCATCGAGTAATTGTGTTGGTGCGCTCAAGGACTTGCCCTTGGAATACTCACAATGTGATTGTATTGAACCTAACGGTTATAGTTGCACAAATAACTCTTCTGGATCTTATGGAGCTGAGGATTCACGTGGATCAAAGGGATCAGACTATTCATCTGATCAGAGAGATTCTGATGAATACCATGATCCCATGAGAAGTGATGTGTTGATTAGTAATTCGAATCAACACTCTCTCTCGACCTCCCTCCTCCTGGATCAAAGAGATATTTGTGTTACCATGGGCATTGAAGGATATGTCAACCCGGTTCCTTATTGTTTTCCTTCGGGTGCTGACATCCTTACAGATCAAGCAGAAGAGGTCTGCCAGGAGCCAGATGGTTATCGTACTTCTTTTAATGCATCAGCCTCAGCCTTACCTTCATTAGATAATTGTTTCTTACCTTGCACTTTTTCAACTGGCGAAACTCTTTGTACTACTAGTGACAATTGTAATTCTTTTTGTATTGTAAGGTTTTCTGAGAGTGCGTGACGCTTAGAAGCCCAGAAAGACTAGAAGTTCCTCAAAGGCTTCTAGAAAGCGTAAAGACCATCCCAAGACCAATGTAAACTTACGAACTGTACCAATTAGAAGGTCAAAGGGATCCGATGATTATAAGGATGACACTGTAGTGAGGTGTCGTTCTCCCTATACTCCAGAAGTTCGAAGAAGGTTGGACCGTTTTATGGAGGAGCATGTGAATTATCCGTATGCGATAAAGGAAGAAAAGAAGCAATTGATGTTTGCAACTGGACTCAGTGAACATCAGATTACTCAATACCTGTCCAACTATCGCCGCCGCCGCCTTCCAAAGAACAATATCAAGTTTAAGCGATCGAAGTATAATATGAAAAATAATCCTAAGAAACATTGAGGGATTATTAGTTCATACCAATCAATTATTATTATTATTAATATTATTCTTTTACAGAAATATTCTTATTCTATTTCTATAATATTTACTGTTTGTTGTTTGTTGGAACAAGGATCTGAACAGAGACAAGTTGAATAATCTCCTTTGGAGAGCCCGTTGTTTGGCTCGACATTCACTCGGATATCTAAGACCCTTAGAAAGCGTTAATATAACCAAATTACATTTTTGACTTTCCTCCAACTCCACTTGTCGCCCCTCTCCCGGGAGCTTCTCTACCACCTTTCTGAATACCGTGTCTATGTTATAATTACATTTTGCGGAGGACTCAAAGAACATGGCATTGTTATCTTCCGCCAATTTTTGTCCTTCTTCAATCGTTACTGCTCTAAAATGATACTACAGCAGAAAATCCAAACCGGCTGTCACTCAAGTCCGTTTTATTGCCCACAATTACCAGAATGACTTCATCGCGTTGATCCCTCACATCCCTCACCCATTTCATCACATTGTCAAAGGAGCTGCGACTTGAAATATCATACACGATGACAGCTACTGAGGAGTCGCGAATGTAGCTTGGAATCAAGCTTTGGAATCTTCTACTATAACGACCCTCTTCTCAACTACTACTCCTGTCCTGCTGTGTCCCATAGCTGCATGCGAATAGGACGGTTGTTGTAAAGGATTGTTTTCGACAGAAAGTCGATCCCAATCGTGGACTACATTGCACGGACATATTAGCTGTACTTGGTATGTTGGGTCAAAACTGTCATAGATGAACCTTGTGATAATCGATGTTTTTCCTGTTCCAGCATCTCCTAAAAATACGAATTTATATCTTTCGGATGACTTGACCCACGACTGTAGTACTTTTCGACAGGAGAGATGGGTTGAACCGTCTCTCCGCAAATCTTTTTTTCGTCATCTACCACTTGCATTGAATAACTCAATACTGTCAAATATTTGAATTCTTCACGAAGGGTTTGATAACTTCGTTTGACACTATTACGAGTGTTTGCTTGACAATAGGAATTAGGCGAGCTTATGCATGCACTCTCTCTGCGATGGACAATTTATGATTGGTAATATGATTATTTTTCTTCATTGTGCATGCTAGAGTCCATTCGTGTTGTTCGAATTGTTTGTGGTACTTTTTGATCTTTTAATACAGTATCCTATTTTCTTTTATTGGAAAATACAATCCCTATCTTGAAATCGATCGATATTAAGCATCATATGCTGTTTACAATATGTGTTTTTTACACAAATCGCTGTTCGATCCTTTTTTGTAAGATCGTAAACGATTTCATTCTTCTGGTTCGCAAGTCTATTAAGAGTTTTATTCATCTCTACCACTTTTATCACCATGACACGAAAAGGTATAAACACATCCTAAATTTGCATAATTTCACTCTCCCTTCATTCTTACGACATATATACAACCATTCGAGCTATACTCCAAAGGATTTATCTTCATCATGAGAGTCCAGCTCCAATATTCATTTAACATTGCACATAATGTAGAAATGAGTAGACTCATACGATCTACATGTACAAAACAATGATTGTAATAGGTGGCGGTTCTGCTGATTGGACGGTTTCTCTTATTCCTCAGATTCTCATTATTCGTTGATTCAAAGAGAAGGCGTCGGAAATGTCAATCAAGAACCCCATCGATATGTTTTGGACAAGCTCTATCGAGCCACGGATCTTTCTGTTGTATTTTCTCATCCAGATTGGTCAGGGTTTGCCATGGAGTGCGGTATCGCTGATGCTCACGCGCGACATTGTACCGAGCGTCTGGACGGTTGCTTATGAATAGGGTTGCACATACGAGCAGATGAATGAATATTATTCGATTACCTATTTGCCTTGGAGTTTTAAGGTGTGAGTACCGCTCCTTTTTCATCACTAGCTTGTGTTTGGTTACATTTCTGATTCTCTTCCCATGCTTCATCATCGTCGTGTTCCCTACTTTGTGTTCTACTCGATCTGTGTGACCATTTCGTTTTGTCTCTACGGCTTGCTCGCCCGAAGCTATACAAGTGCTGTAGTGATGGGAGTCATTCTCGCGTCTGCGGAATGCGGAGCGCAGCTCATGGTGGACACTCTCGTGGTCGAGCGTGTCGTCAAAGAAACCGATGACGAAGGTCAAGGTCAGAGTCTCGCCATGGCCGCCAAAACGGCGGGTACCGTCGTAGCCACAATCCTCTCTCTCCTCCTCATGCTTGTTTTCCTCTCTTTTTCTCCCTCTCAACGGTAGAAAGTGCACGACGACGGCACGCCGGTAATTCCCTACAAAAGCTTCTTCTTCATGGCGGGTCTTCCCTATTTCATCGCTGCCATCGTGGCTCTCAAGATCCAAGATCGCGTTGTCACGCAGCACGTACCCTCCTTCCGCTCTCTCCTCACCTTCCAAGTCCTTTTTGAACACCATCACGGAGGGCAGCAAGCTCATCTTCTGCGGCAAGCGCGGCCTGGACGCGATGTCGAAGAACAAACCGCTCTTCCCGCTGATGCTCTTCCTCATTCTGCGCTCGCTGATCCCCTCCACCACCACCAACATCTACGCCTTCCTCTCCTACAACGTCAGCGTCCAGCCCTGGCAGTACAACACGCTGAACATCTCCACGTCCGTCGCCTCGCTCCTCGCCTCCTTCCTCTACCATCGCTTCCTCGTCGGCAAAAACCTTCTCGTCGTCGTCGTCGCCACCACCATCGCTGCCTGCCTCACCGGCATTCTGCAGATCTACATGGTCAGCGGACTCTTTAACGGAATCACGCTCTTCTGGGTCTGCATCGTCATCATGGACATCAACTCCATCGCATCGCAGATGGCATTCATCCCGCTCCTCATCCTCGTGTCCAAAGCGTGTCCCACTGGCTACGAGGCCTCCATGTGGGCCATTTTCTTCTCGTTAAACGACCTCGCTGGCTCGATGGGAGGCAAATTCGTACGGGTGCGAGGAAAGCGTGAATTGTAGAGTAGCATGCTTACTGGATATTATGGAATTACGCAGAAGGATTATTCGAATCTGTACAAGTACTGCATTAGCTGTTCATTGATGTCGCTGCTGCCGCTGCTGTATTTGATTGTGATTCGAAACTACTTCATGGTGGTGTCGGAAATGAGCGACGATCGACAGGAACTGCGAGGCAATCTGAATCTGTTGAAGAATGAAGAGTTGGAGATTAGCATGCAGAAGACTGTGTATTCTCCCATGTAAAGAAAGGAAATGGATTGCTGGGATTGCTGGGTTTGCTGGGTTTGCTGGGGCTGTAGTTTGGTTTGGTTTGGTTTGGTTTGGTTTGCTCGATTTTTTGGTTGTGAGTTGTTTGTTGGAGTCAACGCGGATCGAAAAGGACTTTATGCTTTGAAGAGTGAAGAAAGATTTTGAAATCAACGCAGTCCAATCCTCACACCCCAGTTTATATGATATAAAAATCCAGTATCACAGTGTATGAATCGTTCATTTCGATCCTTCATATCCATTTTCAAAGATTGTTCCCTCATTTTTCCTCCACCTCCTTTTTCCTCCTATTCTTTCTCTCTTCTTTCTCTTCTTCTTCCTTTTCTCAACATTCCACCCTCTCCCCAACTCTCCTATCTCCAACAAACATTCCACAGCATTTCAAAATACTTATATTCGTGCTCCACATGCATCTTCGGCTCCTTATACTCCGTAACCACATCCTTCGACCCCACTTTCATCCTCATAAACTCCACTCCCATGAACTTGTACATCACGCCATTCCGCGGCGTCGTCCCCGAGACTTCGCCCACAAACACATCTCCATTATAATAGAACAAATATCCCAGGTTCTCGCGGTCCACGATAAACACGCCCTGATCGAAGAAAAAGTTCCTTCCCGCCAGCGGCTCGACGCCGATGACAAAATTCCTGGCGTTCTTCGCCGACGGAATTGCCGCCAAAAATGCCTGGACGTCATTATTTGCTGCGGGGAAGTAGCCGGACACGAAGAACCCGTTCGGGAACACCAGCCTGCCCATTCCGTACAGCTCGCCGTTCACAAACGTGCCGCATTGCAGCACGCCGTTGGGCTGATGGCGGATGCCCGATGTCAGAAGACCGTTCGCGAAATCGCCTTCTTCGATCAGCTTGCCGCCGGAATAGCGCTTTCCACGGCCGCTGTAGACGCCGTCTTTGAATGATCCGTCATAGACCGCGAGGCGGGTAGCGAGGTCGTAAACGGTGCCTTTGCCGTCAGGCTCGCCGCACTTGAGCTCGCCAACATAGAGAAGGGAGGCGGAAAGACGGTACATGCCTTCACCTCTCTCAGGGAGCTGCACGCGAGGCGCTCTCATGAAATTCAGGGTCGAGACGGTGTTCACCGTGCTCGCGTTCAACTCTCTGTAGTTCGTGCTGTATCCTACGATCCTGATTCAAATAGGTGCGGATCCTACTTCTGTATCGCTCGGCGCTAAGACTTTCATCAATCGCTTTCATTTCTTCCTTACTAGACATAACGACATTACCACTCACCTTACTATTTATCCTTGTGAGTTTCGATGAACTGTTTGTCGCTTGCACTAAGATATTCGATGATATCCTTCGATTTGCGATAAAGGTCCATGAACGTTTCTCTCTCTTTATCCACCACGGGATTTTCCTCAACCTGCATTCTGACTCAAAATAGCGACAATCTCCTTGTAAGGAAAAGAAATAATAAGGTCATTTACTCAGGTTATTTGTCTCTTTTTATACATATATTTCTTTTTCCTGAAGGATCTTGCAGCGTTTGAAAGCAGAAATTGTAGTACTGTCGTCAAACCGCACAATTATATAAAACAAACAGATCCAAAACCATCTAAAAAAACAAAGGCGACCATTTGTCCGATGCCTCGTAAACAAAGCGCCATCGCTTCGTGTACTCCACTGCATCGTTCAGAGCGTTCAATACATTCATCAGCGGAGGACTTACCAGATTGTCGGAGAACTCGCGCCGTTTCAAATAGAACTTTCCCCTCGCGTACAATTTCTCGGCGTCATCGCGACGATCTTGCTTTAGCCACTTCGAGTGATACGTTGTCACGCTCACATAGTGCATGCGAGACATCCAGCCAATGTTCGAAAACCACATTTCATAAAAATACGGCGGATTGCACTCGATCAACGTCGAATGCGGCGCGGTAAACAGCAGATTCACTAATGCGGAACCATGCGGGGAGAACACCAGATCCGATGAATAGAATAGCTGGATTTGGTCCTTTACGCTCAGACCATCCATCGTAGAGAATTTCATCGCGAGATCCTACACCATTACTTCATGCCCTTTCATAATACTGGGAATCGGTTCATGATCGCTTTCTTTAGCTTCTTGGGGTCTCGGAACCCTCTCTTCTTCTTTCGATCCAAAAACAACAGTGTCAGTTGGTTCGGACCGAGATGTCTGGACTCCACACTGGCATAACGGTACGCCGTTCCCTTCATCAAGTCTTGCGAGGCAAAGCCTGCAAACAAGCCACCATCGTTGTTATACGCACAGCGATCCAGCAGGGTCTATTTCACAGCGAACTCACACCACTACCACAGATCGAAAACAAACGCCTCGTTTCAGTTTAAACGCATCCGCAAAATGCACATTCGGCCTCAACTTTTTCGGATACAACTCTAACAAAAGCTGGAGATAGGTTTTGGACCATGCGAATTCATTGTCCTTAAACAGTGGCAAATACCAATCTGTAACTTCCGGGTAAAACTCCGGATAGCGTAGTTTCAATAAAGCCTGGTTTACGGACTCCGCGAAGTGTCCGATATGACGTGTTAGGTACGGTTGGGACACGAAAAAATGTCCGTTTTCGATCCAAAGGGTCGTGTTTGGGAGCTTTTTGTATTGCACATTGAATTTGTATTCCCACCGAAAGCCTGCTATTTACGTTCCCGCGGTTATTCTACTCTGTTTGGTGGGGTATCGAAAGCGAAACGTCCCGCCCTCGAAGAAAAAGTTCCAGACGTGCGAGCTATCAATGCAAATATTGTGTGCGTCGATAAACGGACTGTTGCTTCCCTTAATGAACCGAATTTGGTATTTGGAGTACGAAGCATGCCGCGCTTTTTCGTTGCTGGAGTTTCGATTGGATTCGCTGAGAGAGTGAAAAGAAGAGAAGGAGAGAGTACGAGGCGATGTAGTGCTGCTGGAGGGAGTCGAGGAAGGCTTGGTAGGCGGGTTCCCTGAAAGTGAAGAAAGGAGGGAAGCAAAACCATTGGTCGCTGGAAAACGAGTAGCCCTTCGTAAACCAGGCAGATTCGTCAGGTAGCAGCGAGGAGATGAGAAGGCGGGTTGAAGAGACGGAGAAATCAGGAGAGAGGAACGCTTTGATCGGGGAAGGAACGTGATCGACCAGAATGCCGTAACTCTCCCGAAACAGGAGATCGGTTGTTGTCTTAAACTCTGAATGACTCACCATATCCTTTTCCCTTGAAATGTCCTCCTCAAACGAAGTGGGAAGTTCAGAATCATCAAGAGAAGGTTGGTCAATCTCCTCCTCTTCCGAAACTGGACTACCTTCAGCGTCCACTATTTTAGATAAAGTAGAAGGCAGGTTTATTCTTGTTTGTTGAAAATCACGTTGAGACGTTTTCACAGGAAATAAAGTACTCGAATCAGGTTCAGAAATTAAAATCTTTCTCAGAGAATCACGGGCTGCGAGGGATAGAGTTCCCTGCCGCCGATAGCTCATTCCAGTAAGTACAATCGAAACACAAAGGGAAATGAGCACAACACCAAATATCAGTAAAGTCTTCATACTCCTCGACTGATACAAACGATTGACTAACAAACACTCCAAACCTCACTAGTTTCCACAACGTTATACCCCTGATTCCTCGCAAACCCCCAAAACTCCATCCAGTTCCAGAAGAAGCCCTTGTCATACGGGTTTCGAAAGTGTCCATTCTACATCATCACAGCAACTCCATCAATTCCACCTGGTCCTGCATATACGGATAATGTCTCCAGTTAATCGACTCATTCGTGGTGTAATTCCGACTCACCTGCCACAACTGTCTCAACAGCAGCTGCACGCAGAACACTCCCAGCCACGCCAGCAGCGAAAAAAAGCCCGCAATTCCGGCAATCAGCAGCACATCCCGCGATTCCCGAAGCGACACTTTTAAAGCTCCTCCTACGACTCATCGACCGCGCACAATCTCACGTCGAACAAGATCTTGGAGAATGTAAAAAACGAGCGTGATCTGCACCGTGCAGCTACCAAGAAACAGCAGAAAAACGCGGTGACTGCGAGTGAACCGCTCCCTTCGTCCTCACTTTTTGTATCCCACGCAGTTGTTCAGCCAGCCACAGTGGTGATCCATGCGGAACACACACTTGTTGCAGCGGGAACAGTGTTTGCACCGCCGAATCCGCTCGATTTCGCACGTGGAGCAAAGTCCTTCCGTCGAAACGCGCTCTCCGGCCATGATTTCGATGTACGTTTGCTTGAGATCGACATTGCTAAACGGAGAGGCCTGCAGTTTCCCGCGGGAATCGACGGCCCAGCCAGGATCGGAGAAGGAGAGATAGATCCAGAGAAGGAAATTGATGATGGTGGCGAAAACGTAAAGAGTGGAAGGGGTGGAAAGCGAGGGAACCGCGAACATTCCGAGAAAGGAAAGAACGAAAAGACCGAGAATCAGCACGCAAGGGAAGAGCAGAAAGGCGAAATAGTGGTTAATAAAGTCTTGAAACTCGTAAAGAATTCGATGGTATTGGAATTGGCGTAACAACCGAAGTGTTTTTCGCAAGTTTCGCACGTTTCCACCGAAGTGTTCGATTGGGTATTCTTTCATCGCCTTTGAGTCAACAAACAATCAAAACAATGCTTCCAGCGGCGTCCGCACCGCGAAATCCACCGTGCGCACCAACTGCGGACCGTACCGCGAGTCTAGAATTCGTTTTGTGATGGTGGGAGCTGCGGAGCACGCCGCCCAGTGCAACGCCGTACGACCCGAACTGTCCTGGTCGAGAATGCGAGCGCGGTGGCGAAGAAGCCAATCAAATGCCTAAGGATCGAGTGTGTGGATGGGATGGACGATGATGTTGTCGTCGAGACACGCCAGCATTAGAGGCGTTCGGCCTTTGTTGTCGCGAACATCGAGATTGGCCTTCTTTAGGTAGAGCATCGAGAGGACGGTCGCATGGCCGTGCATTGCGGCGATATGAATAGGAGTAAAACCCTTTTTGTCTCGGGCATCGATTTTCGCGCCGTGTTGAAGACATAAACCCACTGGACATCAAACCACGAACAGGAGGGGTACCGATATTCACATTACCAACTTCGGCTGCAACATGAAGCGAGTTTTGTGACTGCGAGTTGAGTTGGTTCACATTGGCACCAGAAGCGATCAAATACGATGCAATATCAAATTTGTTCTGTTTTATTACCTATATATATCACCAACATCCTGGCAAATACATAATGCAACAGGGGAAGTCCTTCGATCACAATAACCGCTTTCGCATCAACATTCCTTTTAACCTATACCGTAAGACAGAACCAAACACAAAAATACAAACTCCAAATCACACTTGATAATTGCAGTTTGCAACTCAGTGTACTGACTATTCGTTGCAACGTCACTGTCAGAACCCGAATCGTTAAAGGAATCGATTCCCTTGTCCATCAAACAGAGTTTTTATTTAGAGTGGATAGTTTCTATATATATATATTTTTATATCAAATGATTTTCGGAGAGAGTGGGGTGTGAAAAGCGTGAATTTGGCAAAGGTGAGTTTTGCATGATTTTAATGCAAAAGCGAAGGGGTGGATACTGCCTAGCCGGTACACAGCATATAAAAAAAGGCGTGACCATACAAAATGTTTGCGTTTAATGAATGGAAAAAAGGTACGAATGGGCGTTTCATTGGAGTTTTATGGTTGATCGTCTTTCTCCATAGAGAGTTCACTGAACTACGCTTTTTTGCTAGTATTGTTTGACTGAGCTCCCATGTCCAAAGACTTTAAGTCAATAACTCCCATTCCGAACGGTTCGCAGATGGTGGACATTATCCTCTCGAAGACTCAGAGGAAAACGCCCACCGTTGTCCGACCCGGGTAAGCACATCCGCATGGGAATCTAATGGTATAGTTTCAAGATCCAGCGTATTCAAGCTTTCTATATGAGAAAAGTGAAATTCACACAGCAGAACATTATCGAGCGTTTCCAGCTCATTCTGGACCAGTTTCCTCACTTGGAGGTAGGTTTTGGTTCGTAGAGCGATGGTTTAGGAAATCCACCCGTTCTTTGCAGATCTAATCAACGTGCTGTACGACCGCGACCACTACAAACTGGCTCTGGGTCAGATCAACACTGCTAAGAATGTGGTAGCCCAAATCGGTCAGGACTACGTGCGTCTGCTGAAGTACGCGGAGTCTCTCTACCGCTGCAAGCAGCTGAAGCACGCGGCTCTGGGTCGTATGTGCACGGTGATGAAGAAGCTGAACGCGTCTCTGTGCTACCTGGAAGAAGTCCGCAAGCACATGAACCGTCTGCCCGCGATCGACCCAACGGACCGCACGCTGATTCTGTGCGGGTTCCCGAACGTGGGTAAATCGAGCTTCATGAACAAAGTGACGCGCGCGAACGTGGACGTGCAGCCCTACGCGTTCACGACGAAGTCGCTCTTCCTGGGCCACATGGACTACGAGTACATCCGGTGGCAAGTGATCGACACGCCCGGCATCCTGGACCACCCCATCGAGGAGCGCAACACCATCGAAATGCAGAGCATCACCGCGCTGGCCCACCTCCAGGCCTCCATTCTCTTCTTCGTCGACCTCAGCGGCCAGTGCAACTACTCCATCGACGAGCAGCTCTCTCTCTTCCGCAGCATCCACCCGCTCTTCGTCGGCAAGCCGCTCTTCTTCGTCTGCACCAAGGCCGACGTCCTCGCCTTCCCCGACCTTCCCGCCGACGAGCAGGCCAAGATCAACCAGGCCATCGAGCAGAGCGGCGCCACGCTCATGCACATCTCCACGCTCACCGAGCAGGGCGTCATGGAGCTCCGCAACGCCGCCTGCGAGCAGCTGCTCAAGCTCCGCATCACCGCCAAGCTCTCCAGCCAGAAGTCCCGCGCCGTCGTCGACCGCCTGCAGATCGTGCAGCCCAAGCCGCGCGACGACAAGCAGCGCGGCGTGTCGATCCCCGACAGCGTGCTGCAGCTCCGCGCCGCCAACGCGCAGACGCGCACGGTGATCTCGACGGGCCGCACGGGCCGGCTGGAGAAGGAGGAGATGGAGAAGCAGCGCGACGCGGCGGGCATTCCGCGACGCGTCGGGTACGACAAGAAGCAGTGGGAGTTCGGCGGGCCGGGCCGGTTCAGCTTCCCCGAGACGGAGCATTATCGAGGCCAGCTGGCGAACGACGAGTGGATCACGGATATCATCCCGCAGTTTATGGACGGGAAGAACGTGGCGGACTTCTACGACCCCGACATCGAAGCCAAGCTGGCGGCGCTGGAGGCGGAGGAGCTGCAGCTGTCGGCGGAGTTCGAGGCGGAGCAGAAGCCGGAGGAGGACGCGGACTACGACGCGTGGCTGCAGAAGACGTACCAGCTGATCCAGGACAAGACGGCGATGCTGCGGAACGAGCGGATCCTGGGGAAGGAGACGAACCACCCGACGGTGGGGCGGAAGGAGACGGGCATCAAGCTGGACCAGATGGTGAAGGAGATGAGCGATTTGGGGCTGGAGGTCGAGGAGGTCGAGAAGAAGTCCGCGAAGCGGTCGCGCAGCCGGCTGGCGGAGCGCATCGGGCAGAGCGAGGAGCTGCAGAAGGAGCTGGAGCGCGCGAAGACGCACTCGCGGAAGCCGCAGAAGGACATCCGCGATTTGGACGAAGGACTGCGGAAGAGAGCAAGAGCTGCTTCGCAGCTTAGTCAGAGACGGATGAAGCTGACTGGGCAGAAGGGAGAGGGAGATCGGTTCAATAAGGCGAGCTTGGAGAAACACTTGTATGCGGGAAAGAGGACGAATGGAACGCACAGATCTCGATAAGAGGAGTTTTTGTTCTTTTATTAGGGACATGTTTGTTGGATACACAGGATGTTGGGTGTGGCTAAAATATTGGTGAGGAATACGAGAGTCGATTACTTGGGAAATTCTTTGTATTCTGTGTCCTTTTTTTTCTTTGAAATTATGATTTATTGTATTACAAAACAAGAATAGAGTAGAGAAAACAAGGGAGTCTCAAAAATGGTGTGTAACTCGTGATAAGTGATTTGAAAAGACGTATATCGTCGTACTATGATACGCATAGACAATGAACAACAATTTGGGGTAAAACGATCTGATTTGTACACATATATTTATAGAGAGAGAGACGAATTCTGTATTCTACAAGAATCCATTAAGGTATTGTACCTATTTATCACACTCCACTTTTACAAATGGAAATAAGCAGAGGATAGTATTAAAAAATGATCATAACGGTAATATTCACAAAATATAGCCATAAAAACAAAAAAGGACCGGGTGATGAAGAAGATGCCACAGATAACAATCCAGCAAACTAGCATATGGAAAAAAAGTATAATATGATGCGTATATTAATAGCAATGCTATTAATACCCCATAAAATATAGGTAAATACGAAGAAAAATGACACCGTTTATTCGGAAAGAAGTACTGCAAAACAGAGAAAATATTACTTTTCACAGAATATCAAAAGTGCTTCTCTGTAAAAAGGGTAAATTCTATATATAATACCTGTAAGCAATCATTCGATAAGCAAATCAACAAGTTTGGATATACAGAGAAAATTACCAAAGTACTATTTTCGGAAAATAGCGGGGAATGAATCATCTCCTGACTTTTGAAACGATTTTCAGTAGGACTTATGTGAATGTGTTTCATTGTAGATACAACACCCATTTTTCATAATTATGAAAGAATCGGCGAACCTATGCCATATATAAAATGCGGAAAGGATTATTATATGCAGCGCTATAGTGGAGAGCATGAGAATGAGTATACGTTAATAAATGAGCAGGAAATATGCCATTACCAAAATGGTTTATTACTGAATGTATGGAAACTCGAAAACGGTGAAGCAACTGGAGAGTATGAATCGTTCGGTAAGGGCTGTGCGAAATACTATGAAAGGTACAAACCAGGAAGAAAGAACACACAAATCCATGTTAAGAATAGTAAAGCAGGTTGCATAAAAGAAATAATTGACATGAATACTGAAATTGTGATATATCGTGGAGATCTTGATGGTGACTATCGAAGACTGGGTCGAGGAATCGAATTTGATAGTAGTACAGGTGAATTATTATTGGAAGGGACGTGGGCTGAAGATCAACTGATAAAAATAAGCCGTATTTTCAATGGTAAAGAAATGACTGAGTTCAATACTACTCAAGACAATTTGGATCCAGTATTGCGATTTCCAGAGTATTGCGGTGGATATTTGTACGATGAAGAAACGAATACTTGTTATCGAGATGGGATCGGATACACACTGGACACGAATGGTATAGCAATGATAAAGGGAGTGTGGGAAAGAGGAGTCGAAGTGAACACAACGATACTGACAACTGGATGGTATAACACAAAAGAAAGTTGTTTGATGGCTGATCCGAACATCGAAAGCATAATAATCGCAGCCAATAAATACGAGAAGGAGAGCTATTTGGATCTAAGCAAATACAAGAAGGTAGCAACGATCGAGATAAAAGATCACAATTTTAGTAACACAGACCATTTCGATCTAAGTGGAATGAAGGAATTGACCTCATTGAAAATTGGAAACAATTGCTTCTATATAGATGACCGTATAAATCGAATGAATCGCACATTTACTATCGTGGATTGCAGTGAGTTGCGTTCGATTATAATTGGCGCACGCAGCTTTTTATACTATAGTGGTGGATTTGAATTGAATCAACTTCCTTCGTTGGAACTGATCCAAATTGGGAACAAAGAAGAAGATTCGTATAGTTTTTCCTACAGTAACTTAATATTGAAAGGCAAATCGTTTGGAATGGGGATGATGAGTAGATTTACCCAAATTGAAAACGGTCATATTGGGAAATCATGCATTTGAAACACAAGAATGTATTGAATTATCGAGTAGGAACGAATGTGGTGTGTTTCTTATTGAATAGATCTTCCTTGTCTGGAAACGCTAAGTCTTGGATGGGCAGCATTGTCAGGACTCAATAGTGGTTCATCATTAGTTATGAAAAGTAGAGAAGTGAGAATGAAACAATCGAATAGATCTTCCGAATCTGAAAACATTGACTTCCAAAGGGTTCAGTTTTCATTATATTCAATCAGTTGAGTTATTGAGTATCGAATCCTGAATGATGATAATAGAACAGACATTCCCAATCTCGAAACTGTGGATTTGAAAATACAGGAAGTCATTTCCGATCCATCTTATCCATTTTCGGAAGTAAAGAGAGCCAAAATGACTAGTAATGAAATGATGTGTTTGATAAACCGAAGATGTTTCTATTCATTTAACACAATATATACGAATATCTGACAAGCCGACGAGCAAACAAAGTCTCAAGTTCAGCCAGATAAAGATTAGTGCCAAAGAAGAACTCATAAATATTCCTGATAATTCGTGTAATGACACACATATTTTTATCGATATAAACCAAATGGAAGTATTAAAAGAATTGACTATCGGTAAGAATTCATTTCAAGGTGTTGGTGATTTCGATATCCATGATCTAAATGAATTGATTGAAATATCAATCGGCTATCATTCATTTGTAACTAATTGTAATCCAAACCCACATGGTTCATTCAATGTATCGAACTGTAAAAAACTGGAATCAATCAAATTAGACTCTTTTACTTTCACTCATCATTCAGGTCCATTTACAATAGAGAATCTTCCTTCCTTGCGATATTTGGAAATCGGCAAGATAGGAAGTTATTCTCTAAATTTCTACTGGGCTTCATTTTGTGTTCGAGGTATTTGTATTGCAACGATTTGAACTAGATCTACCGAAACTTGAATCGATTGTATTAGGAAATGAAGCTTTCACATTATCTTCGCACACAGTATTTGATAGTATTTTATTGATGTATTGGAATTGAGTGTTTAGATTTGATCTCTTTGAAAAGGATCGAACTGGGAGAGAAAGCGTTGATGGGACCAGATAATGATAATTGTAGAGTTGAGTTAAAAGGTATAAACAAAGTAAAGGTACAATTGTAGACCTACCGAAACTGAGTAAACTCAAAGCAGGTCCAGATTGTTTCAAGGAATGCCGAGCTATAACGGTTTTGAATGTTCCATCGGTTGAAGTGGACATTGACAAGAATTCGTGCTTTAAGAAAGTGCTTTTTGTGTATATGTCCAATGCCAGTCCATCTCTAAATGAGTGTCTTCCTATCTAATGAGGAAAGAGTTGGTTGGTTGACTGGCTGAATAACTAGCTAACTAGATAAATGAATGAATGATTGATATGTTCCAAACTGTATAGTAAAGAAAACGAATAATGATGAATAAACACTTAATGATAGATATAGTATAGATAGAATATGTGTTTGTTTGAATGAAGATGTATGATAACTTGTGAAGAATCATTCAAACTGAAATTGTGCTATATTGGAATATCGTATACCAAAGTGTGGAATCGAGATGAATGAATGAATGAATACTATATTATACTATACTATTCTATATATGTAAAACAAAGATTCGAAAGCAAAATCACGAAATACCAACAAAACGTTTATACTCGTTTACAGTGGTTTGAGTTACGATTTTGACAAAATTATCTCGATTTGCAGGTGTACTATCTACAATCTCTGTTCCCAAAGCATTCCGCATTCTTTTCATAGTTGTTACTATTTCAGCGACATTCACAGGCATAAACATAATTCGCAAGCTTCGAAATTTTCGAATATCATTATAAATACGTTCCCAAACATCCCTCAGCAATTCTCCATCTTTATTCTTATCTATTTTACAAAAATCAAAGTCTCCATGATTCGGATAATCGCCCACAATCAACATGAGATGATTATATTTTCGGAATGGTGGCTTTTTCATTTGTTCCAAAGCTCGAATCAATCCTCCTTGAATATCTTCACAATTGCTTCCACATCCAGCACCATCGGCACCACCGGTTGCTTTGAAGGAAGCTAATTTATTCTTCAAACGAGCAAAATCGCTTGTGATATATTCGTCTTGTTCTCCCACCATATTATCAGCATAGTCTTTAAACTGGACGACCTGACCAACAATGCCTCCTTCCGGAACTTCACAATCTGTCTCCAGTTGCTTTATGAGAAAATGTCAATGCAAGTATCTCAAGATATAGTTCTTTCGTGTGTTTGTAGTTACGCAAATTTACTTTATGTTTTTATGGGGTTATATATTATGTATTCATTCTCCGGGTAACCCTTGTTAACAGACTATTCGAAATGATATTTGCCAGCGTTGCCATTCTATTCTTTTGTGAATATACATAAATCCATACTACTGATCCCTCAATAACCGACAAATGTACTGAAGCGATTCATCTATCTGATATTATCAAAATATCATGATATGACTTGAAATTCACTATTGAGAAATAAAAGAATGAGTATTTCTAAGATGTGATTCTGAATTACGGTTGATTCACTATTTTGGCCATTTTAGCATCTGTAACCATACTATACAATACTAACAGCTCATTTTGTAGCATTGCCAACCTACGCGACAAGAAGTCATTATTTGTTTCAGATTTTTCAACATCAATAATACATTCCAATAGAATGCAGTGTTACTTTAATATTCTACTATATAAAACGGATATCAATTAAAGTGACTTGTATTAGAGTCAGGCATTGAATTCAATCATTTCAAATTGAAAAATAGGTAATTACAGTAGATTATAGTATAAATAATATCTTATACTATACGATTACTAATGAACTCCAATCGCCTTTTGTTCTTTCCTACCACATGTTTTTTGTGGTTGATTCCGCTGGTATATGTGAATATGAAAAAACGGAATAAAAAGACCAAGAGGAAAATAACAGAGTGATGTTTATTATTATTTGCTA